GGTGTCCAAATAATATGCTTAGCTACGCTTTTTTCTATGACAGAATGCATGCTGTCAACTGGCATGTAGGAGTGACCTGGCAGAAGATAATTAATCTGGATCACATTTATATTTTTGCAGGATATCAAGTTGTAGTGGAGAGAGGCCAAAACAGTACGGTTCTTATTTTGACCTAAAAAAATAAAATAAATAAATAAAATAAAAAAATGTATTTATTACACCATACATAAACTGACAGAGAAAAATTAGTTGTTTACAAGCCGAATAACGCAAGACTGGCCAAAATTATCCGTTAGAACGTTAACATTGCATATTTTGTATCATGAAAACAAAGTGTAAATTGTTTAAAATGCCTTTTATCTTTGGAAGGACCGTCTTCGAAGTAGATAATGTAGCACATGTGATATTATTTTAAACAGATAAAATGTATAATACGCCATCTGTACCCGTAACTGCCGTAAACAAAATTGTTTTAAGCACCACTATGCAATATATATTCTGCCATATAAAATGACTAACACGGCTTCAAGGCTCTAATATCTGAAAGTAAAATTGACTTATTTGCTAGAAGTAAACTTGTTAGGTGTGTTATACGACAGATAACATATTTTTGTATTAAAATTTGGAGCATAAGACACAGTTGCTTTCAAAACCATCCTAAAAATAAAATGTTTAATATGCCAAAAAAGTAGTTCAAACAGCCTAAATTCCCTTTTTACATACATAGAAAAATTCACTGAATCTTATCGTGTATAAAGTCTATTTTGCAAAAAGTGGCGTATTATACATTTTACCTTTCAAGCGTCGATATATATATATATATATATATATATATATATATATATATATATATATATATATATATATATATATATATATATATATATATATATATATATATATATATATATATATATATATATATATGCAAAAGGATAATGCGAGTGAATAATAAAAGTGAAAATTAATGGCATAATTTTAAAAACCCTGGTAAATCAAATAATTTTAATGTTTCGATTTTTGTACTAATATATTATTGTTACCCCCGGTATATTGTAAAATTTATCGAAAGAATGGTAAAAAACGCTGATGTTTTTACCATTTTTTGCAAAAAAATTAAAAACATGCTAATTGTGCTTTATTTGGGGAAATAAAGACCTGGATAGGATATAGGATAAGAAATAAGGATAAGTTAAGTCCTGGGAAACGCTACGCACAGTGTAACACCGTAGGGACTGTACAGTATGGCGGCGGCTCGGTAATGTTTGGGACATCATAGGCAGATGACTACGACAACTACCTAATGCACCAAACACATTAGATGAAGTTTTATCGCGGTTGGTTGAAATTTGGGATCAAATTGATCAAGAAGAAATCAGAACGATTATTCTCAGTATAAAAGATCGTTGTCCAGCAGTGATAAATGTCAGAGGAGGCAATACTGGGTACTAGTACACGGTACTAGTATTTTCTTCAACTTTAATTTATAACTAATTTATAATGTTAGTTTGTTTAGATCAGTTGTTTGTTTAGATGTTTAGATTTATGATGTTATATTGTTAATTTCAATACATTTTTTGTAAAAAAAGAAAACAACCAATGCAGAAAAGAACAAACAAAATTTTTTCATTACAACTCAAAATAAAAATTTTAAAATTCTTAATATCTTCTATCTGCTTGCTGAGCGTAAAAACGATAAAATCGCCGGCCTCCTTTATGTAAAAACATTGTTGTTGAGCGGAAAAAGGATAATATGTATTACTGGAATCCACTAGGAAACTAAGTTCCTGTAGCTGGCTGTATACCATATATCACAAAAAATTTATTTAAAATCCTTTATAAAAGGTATATAATAAAATGCCCAAACGGGCTATCACAAAGATATTGCAAAACGTTTTCGGATTATTAAATCCATCATCAGTGCAAACCTGAAAGTAAATAACCACTTTAATTAAAAGAACGTTGAATTTAAAATGTTGACTAAGGTTAAAGAACATTGTGGTTAATACTTACGAGGTATACATGCTATGAGCCACCAAAATATATGGGTCCAAACCCTTTAAATGATATAAATTTACATTTGCTTTACATTATATGTGGTTACAAATTATGATGTTTAAGTTACCGTTGGAATTGGTAACATGGCGACCTGTTGATAACAACTGATCTAAATGACATTGTTGACATGTTAGAACGGATGTTGTGTCAGAGCAGTCAGTGTAACATACGGTAGTTGTCTAAAAATGACAGATGTCAGCATTATTTAAAATTGAAAGAAAAATTAAAATTATAATAATGTAACAGTATCAACCATCAATGTTGTAGTCTGTAATCTGAATTAATCATATGGCTATATTGGAAACATTGAAAAATTTGGTTTTTAAAAAATTAATGTGGGTAAACTGGAGTTTATGAAATTTGTAGGATCAGTAGGCAACCAACTATATATGTGTATGGATTTATTTGTTCTAAGCTAAAAAATTTTATCAAAAGGCCCTGTATGTTGTGTAACATTTGGTACCTAGAAAATGGTAAAAAAATGGCAAAAAAGGCACATGTAGGAAGATGGGTCCTATAAGATTTATTAATGAGGAATGTTGTAGTAAAAAGTGTGTTTACATCTGTTGTTGAGCTGAAATTAAAATATGATAAGAATGTGATTATGGTGTGATGTTGATGTAGTACTTAACTTAAAACTTAAGCAAGGAGGGCCCTCTGTGTCAAAAAACAACATTTGGCACTTGAGAAAAATAAAAGATTTTTCAAGTTATAAGTACATGAACATGAATTGCTGGTTATGTGTGAAAATTAAAGATGGTAGATTGTTTTTGTGTGTGGACACGTATGCCAGAACAACAGAAAACTGATGGCTGAAAGGTGGTTTGGTATGGTATTCTTAATACCTTGCTCAAATTCTAACTCAAGAAAAAACAAGAGGCCCTATATGTTAAAAGGAACATTTGGTGCCTGAGAAATATAAAATAAAAAAGGGGTGAGTTATAAATTTGAGTTTAGGTAGGTATGTGAGTTTAATTGGCTTTTGGGGTGTATTGTGAGAACATATGAAACTGTAAGAGTAGTTATGTTTAAGCTGGATCTGTCAAATTTACTAAAGATGTGTGGTGTTTAATTGTTATTGTGAAGAGAAAGGTCGAAAAACTACAAGAGGCTGAAGACCCCAGAGACCCGAAAACCAAACCCTGAGGGAGAGTGGATGGGTAAAAGGAGTTATAATAGAAAAGAAAAATACAGTAAGAAAAGGTGAAGATATGTGGTTAAGTAGGTGAAAGTGTATGTTAATGGAAAATTGTTTTTGGACCACTCCCTCTCCACTCTTCTCTTCACTCTTCACATAAAAGAAAGGGAAAAATTGGCAAGACAATCAGGAAGAGAGTTTGTTACACATAAAGGTACACTAGTTAATGCTAAAGTAACCTGACCAGATTGCACTTGTCGTAAGAAATGTAAGGCGGATTTCACATTTGAAGAAAAACGTTCAATCATCGAAATCGTTTATAGTGGAAGACCAAAAAATGAAAAAGATACATACCTAATCGGATTAATAGAACGACACGATGTTGCCAGACATCGTCCTGCGTAAGCAGAAGCTAGACAGATTTCTTCTTCTTTCAAGTATTTTGCTATGAAAGGCACGTGCAAAGTTGAAATTTGCCGCAATGCTTATATAAGTTTACATGTTCTCTCCAACAAAGCCATACAACGCAACGAGAATTGTCGAATCTAAAACTTTACCAAATGATATGCGAGGAAGACATGCAAATCGTGCAAATAAACTTGATGTCACGATTGTTGCGAAAATTGATGATCACATAAAATCATTTGCGAAAAAAGAGTCTCATTATTCTTCTAAGTATCTACTTAGATGCTAGCTTAAGCGTAACTAAGATATATGAGATCTTTATTAATGAAAATCCTAATTTAAGAACTATCGTTAAGTATGAATATTATTTGCGACATTTCCGAGAAAAATATGGATATCGGTTTGGTAGACTCCAAGTCGACGTTTGCTCGAACTGTGAAGATTTAAATGCAAAAATAAAGTCGACAACTCTTAGTGAAACTGCAAAAAGATGCGCAGTTGCAGAGCTTATGATACATAAAAGAGGAGCATCTAAATTTTATAAAAAAATCCAAGAAATCAAAGAGACCTGTAAGGAGACAAATGACGTTGGAGCAATAGTCTGATTATATGCAAAACCTTCCCCTTCCTTTAATGCCAGTTCAAGAAATGTTTTATTTACGCAAACTTTGGTATTATGTTTTTAATGTCCATCGCCTTGGCCATGATATATCAATGTTCTAACATACACAGAGGGAGATGCCCAGCGAGGCCCCGATGAAGTCATTAGGTCGGTTTTGGACTTCATAACTGAACATTTCTCTAAAGAAGTAAAAATCTTGCATGTCTTTAGTGATGCATGTGCAGGACAAAATCGTAATCACACTTTAACTAGGTTGTTTACTGCACTGACCATGAATGGTAGATTTCAAGAAATCCATCAATATTTTCCAATCCGAGGCCATAGTTTTTTGCATTGTAACAGAAACTTCTCAATTATTAAGCGCTCTTTAAAAAAAATTGATAGGATTTAGTCTCCAGATCAATATAATGAACTTATTGCGTCTTCTAAGAAAAATAACAATAATAAGTTCCAAGTAAAACGGCTAACAAATACCGATATACTGGATTTCAAGACTGGTGGGCTGCCAGTCTTTGAATGATAGTTGTGTTCCTATCGCGCATCGCGGGGGGAAAGGGATGTTCTGGAGCATTGAAGCGCGGTGGAGTGACTCCTGTTTTTACTCGAGTTAATACACCTCGATCCAATGAATTATTACACCCGAACGTAATTCTTAGTCTCATGTCTCACACGCTGGGTTTAATTAAATTGGTTATTTGCTTGCATAACTGTTTAAACGATTTTATTTTCAATTTTAATTAATAAAATTTTTTATTTAAAACGACATTTAACACTCACCTTATCATAGTTGACGCGAAATATGCCGATCTCCGCTTATCTGAAAAATATTTAAAATTGTAGGTTAAAATTGAATAAATAAATAATGTAACAATGTTTAAACAGTCGAATACACCTAGATCTCTTTTAATTACATACTAAGTAAGTGACAGAAATCCGAACAGCCATTATAAATTATTAGATCTTGAAAATAATTTGTACAATGAATTTGAGAAAACGACCAACATTTCAAAATTATTGAAATAACCTACAGGAGTAAATGAATTTATTAAAGTGTTGATACACCTCAGTGGGCAACACACTCCTGGATACGCTTGGGCTCGCTTCTGATTAGCTGGTCAATATCCTTCCGGAGTATCTCGCTCCTTGCCCGAAATGCTCCCAAAGTTTGAGGAGGATACTGTAAATCAAGAAGTCTCAGTTCGATATATCCATAAGTCCTCTTCCCCTTAGATATGGTGGTAATGTCGTTTCTTCTAGTGAACTACGGGAATCGTGTTTTTAAAGAAATATCCCAGATTTAGCTATATGGCTCACATTCCCTCTAAGGCGAAATTCCCTCATCCCAGATACCTACAGCACCAAAAGGATTGAGTTCTGGTTTAACTGTTTCCGTGTTATCAAGCCTTAGGTGACTTGTTACGTTGGAGAATCTCCCAAAAATTTTCTTACGCATCTAGATGTTGAGAGCCGTACTGCTTTCAGCATGGTCTTTGTTTGGACTTCAAATTACACGCCATCTAGTGCAAAATTGGCACATTGTAAATATCAGAATACATTGTTCCTTTCAAGTTGACAAACACGTTTTTTCATTCTGTCAAAGTTTTAATTCATTTATTTAAGTTTATTTCAACAAGAAGTTCATAACCAGCGCAAATATACAGTCCAACCTTTATGGTTTCTTCTAATCCCTTCATGGTTTGGTTCTTCTTCACAGGATTTGGATATTAACAAGAAAAATATAATTCATAATTTCAAGTATTTAACCTAACTTTGGCGTTCATACATCGAGAAAGCAAGTATTGTTGGTCCATCAAAATATTCAACAGTTCTCTTAGTAACGGAAATCAACATTTAGCTGCTCAACTCGTTTGGATCGTCCCATTCCAGTTCTTAACAGTAACACCTACTTTCTTCAGTGTTGCGGTAAATCCAATTTAATATACCCCTCTAAGAAGGTATCGGTCTGGTGCTGTTAAAACACGAAGTATTACGAAGTAATATCCTTTTTTCACTTTTGTATTTTATAATTTTCTTTGTTTTTCCTTCAATATAATTTATTATTCCTAATATTTGACTTGATACTGATAAAATGTCAATTGCAATTCTACGTAGAAAACGGTCAGTAATCAAAACAAAATTAACAAATTTTAATAATTATTTAGATGAAATAAAAGTTTTAGACGAGCAGAATCTTCCAGTCGCGGAGTTAGAAATACGTCCTTCTAAAATAAATAATTTAATAGAAACGTTTGAAAATATTCAAGATGAAATCGACTGTCTAGAAGATTCTGTATCTGAAAATGATATTAGTTCAAGGGTAGAGTTTGAAAATAGTTTTTATTCTGCAGTAGCATTAGCAAAAATACTTATTTCAAAATCTGTCATTGATAAATCATCTGAAATGTCAAATAATTCAAGTCAAAATTGTTCAAATAATGGTAACCATAGCAACATTAAATTACCTACAATAGAGTTGCCTAAATTCTCAGGCCACTTTGAAAACTGGCTAGACTTTCATGACTCGTTTGAGTCTCTAATTATTAATAATAGTAGCTTAAGCCAAATTCAAAAGTTTCATTATTTAAAATCTGCCATTTCTGGCAATGCAGCAAAGGTTATCAGCTCGTTGCCACTTTCTTCTACTAATTTTAGTCTTGGCATGGCAGCTTATATGTGAAAGATATGCAAATCAAGATCTATTAATCTACAGCCATGTAAAGGCAATATTCAACTTGCCAACAGTAAATAAAGAGAACTCTTTTCATTTAAGACTATTGATTGACAATATCTCAAGCAATTTACGTTCTTTAAAATTTCTTGGTGAGCCCACTGAATACTGGGCCACACTTTTAAAGTATATAGTATGCAGTAAGTTGGATAGTATTTCTGAACGTGAGTGGGACTCAATTAAGCCTCAACACCATACATTTGATCAACTCTTAGAGTTTTTAAAGAAAAGAGCTGATATATGATGATAACCGGGCTAAGAATATTTTTGTTAGGGGTGTACCCGAAATTACAGGAGACATTGAAACAAAGAAAAGTCACGATGATGGAATATTAAAAAATATTTTAGATACTGTAATGTCTAACTCCACTCCTGTCACATTTTTCAGGACTGGAAAACCAAACAATCGCTTCCCTAGGATGATAAAGGTCATTATGCAAAATGAACATGAAGCCAAACATATTTTGAAGAACAAAAAGAAAATTTTACAAAACGTCTCTTTAAAAAACGTTTCCATTATCGACGATAAGACTCCAAATCAAATAGAATGCCTAAAAGAACTTCGAGTGGAACTGGAACAGAGAAAATCGAATGGAGAGGAAAATTTAACCATAAAATATATACAAGGTGTCCCGAAAATTGTAAACTTTCGTCACTAATTCTGATATTTCAGGTTTTCATAATTGGCTCTGTTTCTATACTAATCTAGCTACTTTAAATTCCAAATTTAATGAATTTTTATGCAACATTCAAAACCTAAATCCTCAAATAATTCTTATCACTGAAACATGGTTAACACCAAATGATCCTGACTCCCTTTATAACATTGATAATTATTCCCTTTATAGGTGTGATCGTCGTAATCGGCGTGGAGGAGGAACTTGTATCTACTTGTCTTCAGAAATTACTAATAATTTCTCTGTTACATCTCTTGATATTACTGTCCCTAATATGGAACTTCTTGGCTTAAAAATATGTCATAAAAACTCTTTTGTTTTTCACCTAGTATGCGTTTATCGGCCTGGTGATTCTAGATTAGCAGATGATGAGTCCCTTATCGCATCACTTGATGAACTGTCTAGGCTAGAGAATTTAATTGTTATTGGAGACTTTAATTTTAGAGACATTTCGTGGCCTATAACTGATCCACCTAGTGGCTTAACAACTTCCAAAAACGCATTTACAGATTTTGTACTAAATTCTAATTTACATCAATTCATAACGGAGCCGACTCGTTTCAGAATCAATAATTTACCATCTATTTTGGACTTGGTATTCTCTAATGATCCCCATTTATTAACACATCCCTTAATAAGCTCTCCAGTAGGTAACTCAGATCATGCAGTCATAACGTTTCATATTCAGTTTAACTTACAGTACTGTACTCCTAATCCTAATGTTAATAAAACGGTATATGAAATAATTGATTTTGAAAATGCAAATCGCCAACTGACCGACATTGATTGGAATGATGTTTTCGGCGACATAAGGAATCCAGTTGTATTCTGGGATAAGTTCTTACAGGTTGTTAATTTATGCAAAAACCAAAATACCCTCAAAAAACCCATATACAAAAATAACATAAAACCTTGGATTAATGGGGAATTAATATATCTGATCAAGTATAAAAGAAAGTTGTGGAACAAATATAGACGTACAAATCGCATAGAGGATTTACAAATTCATCGAGACTTTGCCAGAGATTTAAAGAAATCTTTACATGAAGCTCGTGTTGCCTACGAAGAGAGTATAGCCATTAGTAATAACTGTAAAAAATTGCACAAGTATATTAGATCTTCGTTGACAACAAAAGTTTCTATATCTTTACTGGAAAATGATAATGGGGATATATCCCAAAATAACTATGAGAATGCCGAACTTCTCGCCAGTACTTTCTCCAAGGTTTTCTCTGTTGAACCCACTAATTATCAGTTCCCTAATATTACTTCGTCACGAGTTTCTTCTTCTCTTGAAAATATAATCATTACTCCTGAAAAAGTTAAACATCATCTTCATAGCCTAAAAAATAATTCGTCTCCTGGTCTCGACTTAATATCTTCTTTATTTTTAAAGAAATGTTCTGATGCTTTAGCTTATCCACTATATGTGATTATGTCCCTATCATTCACCACACATATTTTGCCTCCTATATGGAAAACCGCATCTGTAACACCGATCTTTAAAAAAGGGAACAAACTGGATCCTAATAACTATCGTCCTATCAGCTTAACACCTATAATATCTAAGATAATGGAAACTATTATTGCCGAGACAATTTCTGATTTTCTGCAAAATGAACTGGTTATACCAGAACAGCAGCATGGTTTTGTCAAAGGACGTTCTACAATGACAAATCTTCTCTGGTGTGTCAATGAATGGTCAAGAGCATTAGACAGAAAAGCCCGGTGGACATTATATACCTCGATTTTGCTAAAGCTTTCGATAGAGTTCCAAAACGAAGACTATTACATAAATTGGAACACCTTGGTATCCGTGGTCAACTACTGAAATGGATCGACGCGTATTTAACAGATAGAAAATTTTGTGTTAGAGTTGGGGACTCTTTCTCAGTTGAGAGAACGGTTTTAAGTGGGGTACCGCAAGGATCAGTTTTGGGCCCACTCTTATTCATAGCATACTCAAGTGATCTACAATTTCATATTAAATGCAACAATGCTTTCTATGCAGATGACACGAAGCTATTTTCCGATCCCTCCGTAAATTTCCAGTTACTACAAGATGACCTTGATTGCATATCGGAATGGTGCTCTACCTGGATGCTGCCTCTTAATGTGGAAAAATGTGTAGTTCTTCACATGGGTAAAAATAATCCGTGTCTTCCTTACTCTATTAATGGGCGCGTGTTAAAAACAGTGAAATCGCATAACGATCTAGGCGTTATAATTAATAACAATTTAAGTTGGTCGGAACACATTTTGCATATTTCTAAAAAAGCTAACAGTAAATTATATCTACTAAATAAAACGTTTGCGAAAATGTCATTTATGAGCTCAATTCATTTGTATAAACTGTACATTCGTCCAGTTCTGGAATATTGCGGAACTGTTTGGTGTCCAGTATTAGTGCGC